TTTTTCAGATTTCTCTCCCAGAGAGATTTTATTTCCAATCTAGCCTAGAACTCTTGGGACTTCCCTGAATTAGATCTGCCCTGTCCTCCTGAATTAGATCTGATATTGTCAACTACCCTATTTTCTATCTCATTTTGCTTGAGCTTATCTTCAAGTAACTCTATTTAAAAAATGGTATTTGAGGGGTGCCTGTGTAGCTCAATCAGTTAAACATCTGCTTTTGGCTCAGATCATGATCTCAGGTTACTGGGATTGAGCCCCCCCCCCCCATCAGCCGTCAGGCTCTTGCTCAGTGGGGAGTCTGCTTCTCCCTCTCCCTCTGCTGCTCCCCTTGCTTGTGCTCTCTCTCTCTGTTCCTCTCTTTGTCAAATAAATAAATAAAATCTTAAAAAAATATAAAAAAGGGTATGTGGGAGTTTACCTTTTTGAATCCCTGCAGATCTAAAACTGTTTTCATTCTGCCTTTTTTTTTTTTAAGGTTTTATTTATTTATTTATTTGAGAGAGAGTGAAAGACAGTGAGAAATAGTATGAGAGAGGAGAGGGTCAGAGGGGGAAGCAGGCTCCCCACTGAGCCGGGAGCCCAATGTGGGACTGATCTCAGAACTCTGGGATCATGACCTGAGCCGAAGCAGTCGCTTAACCAACTGAGCCACCCACGTGCCCCCATTCTGATCTTTTACTCAATGATAATTCAGCTAGGAGTGGAACTTTTCTGAAAAGTAATTTTTTTTCTTAGGTTTTGAGGTTCAAGAAATATTTCCCTCAGAAACTTGGAACTCTTTGTTATCTTGTTATATTTAGAGTTGCTGGTAAAAATTCCAATGTCAGCTTGATTCTTGGGTCACTTCTTTTCTTTGGAAATTTAAGATCTCTGTTTTTGCAGTTCTAACATTTTACAAGGTTGTTTTTTCTTCGTTTTTGCTCTGTGCTAGTAGACACTTCAAGCTCTGGGAAATTTTCTTCCATTATTTTTGAGTAATTTTCCATTCTTTATTTACTTTGTTTTCTCTTTCTCTTGTAATATTAGTTCTCTTGGATTTATTCTTTCTTATATTTTCTCTCGCAATTTCCATCTCTCTGAGTATGTCTTCTTTTTTTAAAGTTTATTTATTTATTTATGTAATCTTTACACCCAACATGGGGCTCAAACTCATGATTGGGAGATCAAGAGTCGTGCACTCTTCTGACTGAGCTAGCTAGGTGCCCCATATTTCTTCTATTTGTAAATTTCATTCACTTTATCTTTTAACACTTATAGTGAATTTATAATTTTGGCAATTTCTTTTTTTTTTTAAGATTTTATTTATTTATTTGAGAGAGAGAGCGTGCACAAGCTGGAGGTGGGGAGAGGCAGAGGGAGAAACAGACTCCCCTCTGAGCAGGGAGCCCAACGCGGGGCTCCATCCCAAGACCCTGGGATCTTGACCTGAGCCAAAGGCAGACGCTTAACTGACTGAAACACCCAGGCACCCCTAATTCTGGCAATTTCTTATTTATGATTTCAAGACTTACTTTTTATTCTTGGATTGTTACTTCATCTGAGTATACTGAGTATATTATTCTTATTTCATAGGTGTACTAAAAGTCCATGAGCATATTAACTATTATTTTTTAAGTTCTCTGAAGTTTCTTTATTTCCTCTATGGTCACATTTTGTTTATCTTTCTCCCCTCCCCCTAAATTGGAGACTTCTTTTAAAAATCTATTAATCTAATCCTTGGTTGTCTGTTCATGTTTAAGATGAAGTAATTGGAATGCTGATTAGGAATCTTGTGGTCTTGGGAGGGTCTTGCCAACTTGCACAACTTCACTCAAGGGTGAGTGGGTAGAAAACCAGCTCCTGTGCCAGAATGAAGACTGCTTCACTCAGTCATTAAATGCTCAAATAGGGGGTGCCTGGGTGGCTCAGTTGGTCAAGCATCTGCCTTTGGCTCACGTCATGATCCCAGGGTCCTGGGATCGAATCCCGCATTGGGCTCCCTGCTCAGTGGGGAGCCGGCTTCTCCCTCTGTCTGCAGCTCCCCTAGCTTATGTTCCCTCTCTCTCTGTCAAATAAATAAAATCTTAAAAAAAAAAAAATGCTCAAATAGCTGCCCAACTCCTCCCCAGAGAGGATGAGAACTCTTGATTTTTAGCCTGGGATAAATGCCTACTGACTGTATTCGAGATAAGGAAGGGTTCTTCTGTTCTATATGGAGATCTTTATTTCACCTTCCTATTGGCTGCAGCCTCCTTCTGCACCTACTCCACATTATGGTTCCTTTAATTTTGTTTAGTCAGACTGCACTCACTTCTTGTGTAAATTAAAAAAATATATATGTTTTGGTGGTCTCCTTCCCATTTTCTATTACGTATGGGTTTTGTATCATTTTAAAAATTCCTTTATTAGCATTTTAATTGGGGTCTCAGGAAGAAGAGGTAATGAGGGCGCCTGGGTGGCTCAGTTGGTTAAGCAACTGCCTTCGGCTCAGGTCATGATCCTGGAGTCCCAGGATCGAGTCCCGCATCGGGCTCCCTGCTCCGTAGGGAGTCTGCTTCTCCCTCTGACCCTCTACCCTCTCATGCTGTCTGTCATTCTCTCTCTCTCAATAAAATAAATAAAAATCTTAAAAAAAAAAAAAGAAGAGGTAATGAATGCATGTGCTTAGCCAGCTTTTTAAAAATTTATTTTTAATTTATTTTTATTATTTTTTAAAAGATTTTATTTATTTGAGAGAGAGTGAGCATGCGCAAGAGCCGGGGGAGGGAGAAGCAGACTTCCTGCTGAGCAGGGAGCCTGATATGGGCTCGATCCCAGGACTGTGGGATCATGACCTGAGCTGAAGGCAGATGCTTAACCATCTGAGCCACCCAGGTGCCCCCCAGCTTTTTTTTTTTTTTGTAATTGAAGTATGGTTGACAACCAATGTTACATTAGTTTAAAATTATGGAATGCTTCATTAATTTGTGTGTCATCCTTGCACAGGAGCTATGCTGCTCTTCTATCATTCCAATTTTAGTGTATGTGCTGCCCAAGGGTGCACTCAGCTGGCTTTAATAAAAAAAATACTAAACGTAAGTTAAAAAAACAAACAAAAACATCTGGGGCAGAGTAGGAAATAAGAAAAAACGACCAGTGGAAGGGCAAAAAAAACAAAAACAACCCTCCCCCAAAGCACACACAAAAAAACAAACTACCACAATTCTCAGTCTGTGATATTGATAGTACCCTGTGTATGTATAACTTAGTGCTTAACATAGCAACTCTCCAGATCCACACATTTTAGCAACATCGCGGATCTCAGACATGGAGTTCACACCCCATTTTACAGTTAAGAAAAGTAAAACCCAGAAATAAAGTGATTTCCCCAAGGTCATTCAAGTAGAGAGTGGCAGAATGGAAACTAGGATATGACTCCCACTTTTTTGTTTTTACCTCCCCACACTGCTGGGGAGTAACAGGATGAGCAGATCAGCAGTTAGATGAAAAAGATCTTGAAAAACAGTCGAAGAAGGATGGCTTTTTTTGGGGTAAAAAGCCAGATGTCTAAAAAAATGAAGTATTTTAGGATGCTTATTTGGCAGCTATACAGTCTTTGGCAGCACAGTCTAACAATTGGTAGGCATATGTTGAATGTACTGAAGGGGGCGACTGTACAGCAGGACCGGGAACTGCAATAATCCAAGTGCGTGGTGATCTGGGAGGGAACAGAGTCTGGGCAGGATGTAACAGTAGAATTTGGTGAATGAATGAATGTGAATACTGAGGAGAGATGGGAAAATGTTAGTGGGATTTTGAAGGAGTGTAAATTGGTTAATTGTAGTGGAGAATAGGGGTAAAATGATGACTCGACCCCTCCGCCTCCTCCGCCTCCTCCCGGGCATTTTAAATGATTCGATTCAACCTAAAAGACTGGTGCAAATATAATTCACATCACTCCTACTTTCTTGGTTAGGGATAGTTTACCTACATTTGTAAATTAATGGATGCAGCTGCCCTCTTTGCATGACTCCGACGAAAAAAAACCGACTGCAATTCAGTACAAGAAAATTGGATTTCCTGAAATAAGGTACCATTTGCTTAGTAGACTAGCCTAGCTGTTCTGAGGACCAAATAAGACAACGTAGCACCGCATTTGGCACATCGCAGGAGCTGACTGTGCACCTTAAATTCCGCCCACGCTCTCCTCTCCCGCCGAGCTCCTACAGAAAAACCACGTACACTGGGGTGGGTCTTCCGCGACGCCTAAGTTCTTTCCCTAAGGTCGAGTGGACAGCCCCGCGGCCACATTCGCAAAAGCTAAGGGTGGGGGAAAAATCCAATTTCCCTCGGACAAAGGGTTCCCACTGCGGCCTTGGGAGCGCAGCCCAGAATGTATGATGATTCTAGACCTACTCTCGACAGCGGTGGCGGTCCTGGGGCTTGTGTAACGGGTCCCGCCAAGGAGGGGGTGGGGCTACCCTAAGGTTTGGGAAAGCGACGATTCCGCTCTTCGGGCCTGGCCGGTCCACTTCCTACGGCAAGCAGAAGGAGACAAACGCCGCCTTGCCTCGCTCCCACCTACCGCCTCTTCCCGGAGCGAACTCCGGCTCTCCCTTCCCGTGGCCGCAGGGGCTGCGCGTGGGGGTTGTGGATGCCCCGCGCCCGTTGCTGTGCTTTGGCGCGCAATCGCCTCCGGAACCTTGAGTCACCCCACTCCCAGCCCCTGACCCGCCTTCCTTTGGAAGGCGCCGGAGGCCTGCGGGCTGCCAAGTCGCATTCTCAGGAGGGTGCGGGAAGGCTAGGTGGCCCGGCCGGGAGGAGGCGGAGCTCGCGGTGTCTCGCGGCCCCGGCGGGGGCGGGGCTAGGTGTCTCGCGCAGGGGGCGGGGCGCGGTGACGTCGGCGGGCGCTAGGGCAGTACTGTGGCTGTGGTGGTGGTGGCGGCGGTGGCGGCGGTGGTGGCGGCGGCGGCGGCGGTGGCGGCGTCCGGGCGGCAGCAGCAGCAACAGCAACAGCAGCAGCCCTGAGGAGGGTGAGACGGCCGCCGTGGCGGCAGCTCGGAAGTCGGGCGGGACCGAGAGCTTTCCGCCTGCCGCTGGCGCTGAGGCTTTTTTTTTGCCTTTTCTTAGCTTGCTTCTTCCTCACGGCCCTGGCTAGGGCTGGGCAGCGCGCCCCCGGGGAGGGGCGGAGCTGTAGGTGAGGCTTCAGGACCCCCCCTCCCCCTCCTCTCCCTACCGGGGGGATGGGAAAGTCCGGGGAGGGGCGGACCCCACCCCACCCCAGCCCCCCGCGGGCTCCACCCCACCGAGCTCCAGGATTGGGCGCGAGCTGAGGCGATAGATGTGGGGAGCCCGAGGTGGGAGATGGGAGATAGGGGCTCTGGGCGCTTGGTGAGCGGAGGGTTTGAGGCGTGATGTTGCCGGCGAGGTAGTGGCGAGATGGAGAAATTGGGGAGCTATGAAGAGGTTGGGGTGCGGTCAGGGTGGATCTGTGTTTAGGCGACCGATGTAGAATGTTGAAAGAGATGATTTTTTTTTCTTCTGTGAAATGGTAAGATAGGAGATGAAGGGTGTATTTCAAAAGGAAGATGAGCTGTGGATGTTGCCTTTGAGGCAATTGGAGAAGCTATTGAACTAGGTCTCACATTTCTACTTTGGGGTTTGGATATTATTATTTTTCTTTCTCGCGGGGTGAGTCGGGAGGAAGAAAATCCCTCTGCTTTTGGCGCAGGTCGGTACATTGTGAGGGTGGCTGGATTTAAAGTTTTACACCCTTCAAGGAGAGTGAGATCTTGGATTAAGACAACTTCATTTTGGCAGCAGCATAAGGGAATAGGTCCTATTACACCTAGTTCCCTAAAGGTGTTATCTTCCAGTCTTTTTTCTGTGCCTAAAAGATCTCTTTATACCATCTCACTTATAAGCTTTATCCTGTCCTCTCTAGAGAAGGCCTGAAAATCAAGTGGTTGCTTTGGAAGACACGTTTCTGAGTAATAGTTGCAGGTGGTTGTGGTTGACTGCTTTGGATGGATAATTTGAACAGTTCTGTTGGAGCTAATTATATGATAAATGTTTAAATGTTTTAAAGCACAGCTGTCTTTTACAGCTCGTTTTTCAACAGACCTTGACATTTAGACATTTTGTGTTCAACACAGTTATTGGGGATTATTTTTATTTCTCATTTGCAGATGTTATTAGACACTTTAAAAATGAAATGGAATAATTTTTTTTTCGGTAGGTCCCTCAATTTCTGAGAAATGTTCTTGGAGTCAAGTGCTTTTAAAATGCTCTTTAATAACATTTTGGGGGCATGTATCTCACTTCATAGGGAGATAATGTTACTAAGAGTAAACGGTGTTCAGTGTTCTTCACATCAGTGTTTCACAACTTTATACATTAAATCAATCTCTTCTCGATTCCTGCTTCCTATTAGATCACTGTCAGTATTCACTGACCTTACCTATCAGTTAGTGTCATTTAAGCTGTTTCTTGCTCAGAAAACAGGTCCTGTGATGGACATGTATTATGTAATGGATGGAAGTAGGCATGACTCTCAATAATTAATTTGTGGAGGAAGAAAAACCGTCATGAAGTGGAATTTTAGCAGTGACTTTCCCAAGGCTTACTCAATTTATTTGGGAGCATAGCCAGAGAAGTGCTTTCCTGTAACCCAAGAGAGAATTATACAGATGTGAGTGTCAGTAGTTGCAGATCATTGCCTTTTTTAACATGCCTAATTAATGAGAAGACTATTATCTTCTAGAAAATACTTAAGGGCAACAGATGATACAATAGCTATAGAGAAAGGGTGTGTCCAATTTGTAATTCTAAAAGATTCAATTAAATGTATTCAAACATCAAATTAGAAGTTGGTAAATGAATACTTTTGATTTGGATTAGTTACTTAGAAGGAAAAATTAAAATTCATATATCTAGTTTGGCTTTTAAATTCTACTTTGATTTAATTGGGTATGAATGAGGACAAATGTGAACTAAGATATCAGGTGAAACTTTGTGTATTGCTAAAATTATATTTGCATGGCTGACAGTGGCATTCTTTGTGGGAATGAAATCGTGGGATTGGGGGGAGAGTATAAGGTAGAAGTGGTCTGTTTCTCTTTAGAATTTCTTATGCCTAAAAAAAAATACTACATTTTATTTTTCCAAGAAATGTCACTTGCTAGTCATTACTGTGTTGTTCTTGTTGAATTTACTGAGCTCTCTCCTCCCACCCCCACCCATTACTAAAGTCAGGTAAGTATGTCAGTCTGTTAATTCAACATTAGTACTGGAAGCAAGATAAAAGTGAAGGTTATTATAGCAACAACTGCTCTTCTTGTGCTCTAAGTTTATGCTTTTGGAAGTAGTAGAAGAGGTGTTAAATGTGCATTTTATACATACCATATCAAAACATCAATGGAAGAAGACTAGGGAATGTAATATTTTGGTTAACTAAATAATGAGTACATTCATTATCAATTTTCAGACAAATATAATGTAATGAAGGAAACAGCATACAAGTTATATAAAATATTTATTTCTATAGCTCTTCAACATCTGAGCCTTGGGGGCACTGATTCATTCAATGGTTATTTATTGAGTATGGTTCTGGGTATTTTTTTAGCGATTGGGGATACAGTAGTGAACAAAACTGACAAAAATCCCTGCCTTCATGGAACTTACCTTCCAGATACCTTTTGGGGAGATGAAGAGAAACGTGGCAAAGGAAATTAATAAAAGGTCATTGGGTTAGGAAAACCAGGAGAGTGTGATGTACTAGCAGTGAAGGAAAGGAAGTTTAAGGAGGAGGGAATGATCAAGTGTGTCATTGTTAAAAGATATGTCGGAGTGTTGGGTAAGGGAGAATTTGCACGATTATAATGTCTAGTAAGAGAAATATGAGTAAATGCTTTCTAGTGTGGGATGAAATAGATGTAAGAATTTGTCAGTTTTTTACTTCCCTGGATTGATTTTTAAAAAACATATATTTCGGGGCGCCTGGGTGGCTCAGTTGGTTAAGTGACTGCCTTCGGCTCAGGTCATGATCCTGGAGTCCCTGGATCGAGTCCCGCATCGGGCTTCCTGCTCGGCAGGGAGTCTGCTTCTCCCTCTGACCCTCCCCCCTCTCATGTGCTCTCTCTCTCTCTCTCTCTCTCATTCTCTCTCTCAAATAAATAAATGAAGTCTTAAAAAACAAACAAACATATATTTCAGGGGCGCCTGGGTGGCTCAGTTGGTTAAGCAACTGCCTTTGGCTCAGGTCATGATCCCAGGGTCCTGGGATCGAGCCCCGCATCGGGCTCCCTGCTCCGCAGGAAGCCTGCTTCTCCCTCTCCCACTCCCCCTGCTTGTGTTACCTCTCTCGCTGTCTCTCTTTGTCAATTAAATAAATAAAATTAAAAAAACAAACAAAAACATATATTTCAGTTTTTATCCTTTTCAGAACAAAATAGGCAATCTGTGAGTGTATACTATACTAAGGACAGATATGACATTTTTCTTATTTTGTTATTTTTTAATGTACTAATAACTATTATACTCATTTAAAAAATAGGTAATACACATACCAAATCAGAAGGTATGCAAGAGTACATAGGGAAAAAAAAAAAGAGCACATAGGGAAAAGTAAGTCTCCTGTCCCATCACATTGTTCCTGAAGGCAGTCACTGTTTCCAAGTTCTTGTTTTTCCTAACCAGTGAAATTTTGTGCAATAATATGGTTTAGCTATTTTAAAATTGCATAAATATAACCTATTTTATCTTCTAGTTTTTTTTTTTTTCTTTTCAGGCTTAGTATTTGTTTTCATAATTTAAGTCTAGCTCCCTGCAGGCCTTTTGTTTTTATTTTATAACAGCTTTATCAAGAGAAAATTCATATACCAGACTCATTTGAAGTGTATAATTCAATTTTTTTGGTGTGTGTAACTATCACCACAATCAATTTTAGAACATTTTCTTCACCCTCAAGAGAAGCCCTAAATCCGTTAGCAGTTACTTTTCTGATCTTTAGTTTTTAAGTTAGGTATTCTTTTGTATATTATGTGGGAAAAATGTTGTGAAATACTTGCTTACCAACTAAATGGAAATTAAGCCATTTAGTGTAAAAACACAGGTTTGTGTAAAAGTCAACTTAGATAACATTTTATTTGGTTGAGTAATGCTTGTGAAATGATTTGATTACTTAAGTATCTTTTCATTATTCCTACATTTATCATATATTTATTGAGTACCTTTTGTGTTCTAAGTCCTGGGCTGGGCCAGGTGGAATCCAGGATTAATAATGGACAGGGTCCCTTAGTCTTAAGGAGTTTTATTCTAGTGAGAGAAGAGGAAGAATTAATAGGGGTTTGTGGGCTGCTGTGCTTCAGCTCATAGGATGGATTCCTAAGCTGGACTGTTGGAAAATCTGAGATGAGATCTTAAGGATAAGTAGGAATTGGCTAAATGAAAAGGATGCAAGTAGAGGGAACAGGGTTTGCAGAGCCCAAAGGCCAGAAAGCTGTAGGGCAAATTGAGTGATCTGAAAATACTTTGGTCTGCTGGAATGTTGAGTGCTAGTGTGAGGTGTTGGTATCACTCCTTCTTTATGTTAAATAATGTGTTGTCTTAAAAAGGCAAAATCATGGGGCACCTGGGTGGCTCAATCCTTAAGCGTCTGCCTTTGGCTCAGGTCATGATCCCAGGGTCCTGGGATCGAGCCTCACATCGGGCTCCTTGCTCAGCTGGGAGCCTGCTTCTCCTTCTCCCACTCCCCACTTCTGGTGTTCCCTCTCTCACTGTCTCTCTCTCTGTCAAATAAATAAAATCTTAAAAAAAAAAAAAGAAATCAAAATCATTACATTTTTAATTTGCTTAAACTCTATGGATTGCTGTTACTTTGTAGCTGTATAACTTTGGGTGAATTACTTTACTGTCTAAAACTCAGTTAATTTTCTCATCCATAAAAGGGGGGAAAAATTGTCCTACTTCATGTGATTGTTGTGAAGAATAAATGAAATGATACTCATAAAGCTTTTAATAAAGTGCTTGGAATATAGTAAGTACTCAATAAAAATCAACACCCTGATGGTGATGATAGGGTGTGGTGGTGGTAATGATGCCTGATTTGTGGAATTCCTTTAGGATATCGTGGAACCCCAGGGAGTTCTCAGGAGACTGGAAAATGATACCTGTCTTTTTAACATTTTTCCTGGGAGG